GGGGGAGGGGGGAGAGGTTTGTGCGGGGAGAAGGGTGCAACAATGAATGGAATTCCAAAATCTCTGTAGATGTTCATTGAAATGAAAAAGAAACAAACTAAATTAAAAAAAAAAGGTAATTATAGAGATCTAGGTAATGAAACGACAGCTGTCTCTGCCTTCAGATGTGTTGCAGATCACCTGATAGTCTGGGTAAACTTTGTTTATATTTTATAGCAGTTCTGTTAATCTGTAATAACGTGGCATGACATATTTATGACCCTATATCAATATCAGATTAATTTCATAGTTTCATGTGCCCAGGTTTGTGATGAATTAGTTTGTGTGTATTCCTTTAACCAAAATAAACATATAATAAATATCTATTAAAGAAATGCTTGATAGATGCTGAAGTCTGAATTCTTTATTACCTTTAGATGTGTAAAGAAGATTTTAAAAGAAAAAAAGCAAATGCTGTCTTAAAATTACATTATATAAAAATTACATTATGTGGAGGGTTTTTTATATAGAGTACAAGTAAATTAATATTAGCTCAGTTACATCAATATAGAGAATAATGGCTTTTTGTTTTTTTTCAATATAGAGTCTAAAGGAAGACTTCCATTTGGTAATTTGTTAAATCAGTGCAAGTAAAATCAAGGGACTATGGATGTAGAAAATGAACAAGTGCTGAATGTCAATCTTACAGGTAAGTAATTCCTTGAATCTTAGCTGTGTGTGTTTCAGGCCAAATCATATTTATTTGAAACCTGAACATCCTCTTTACTTCTAAAAACCATCTTACTCATGCTATAAGAATAAGTGGATCCAACAATGAATGAATGAAATTCCAAAATCTTCGTAAATGTTCATTGAAATTAATACAATATAATTTAAAAAAGGAGTAAGTGGATCATACTATTATTATTCAGATTTTCAAGTGAGTGAGTCCTTTTCATTATGGAAAATTATGAAATGCCCTTACTTTTTCCTTATCCCTTACATTCTTGGATCATTATAATGTATAGTCTGTTGTTTGATGCCATTGAGATGTAGACGACTCATAGCGACCCTATGAACGAACAGCCTGAGCACTGTTCGTACATAGAGTTTCCGGAGGCAAGCCATTTCGGAAGTGGATGCCGCTCCTGCTTCCAGGCTTGATTTAGTCGGGAAGCTCCAGCCAACACTGTCCACCCTGGGTGCCCATTACCACGATTGGCACATCACTGTCACAGGCTTCAGCATCACAGCAACCACGAGTTACCAATGTATAGGCCAGAGAATAATAATAGTAGAGCTACTTATTTTCACATACTAATTAGTACTTTTTGTAATTTATGTTATTGATATCTACCCCAAATAATTGGAAGCAGGAGTGGCATCCAATTCCTAAATAATATGCCTCCAGAAACTCTTATAAATGTTGATGGTTGTAGACGGGCTTCAGGCCTTTTGGTCATGGGGTCGCTGTGAGTCATGCTCGACTTAAAGTCAACAACCACCTCAAATAATATTTTGTATATTAGAAATACCCTGTAGACACTTCAACTAATTTCCTGTGGCACTTTGTTAGCATGTTGTTATAAAAATGAACTTGAAAAAAAAGAAAAAGAAATGAACATAGTTTTATAGAATTTAGTATTTTCTGATTAACTCACTGCCACTCCTGAGTCTGACTTGTAGTGACTTTCCATTGGATTGCTGAGGTTATCCTTAGAATGGGGAGGAGGCTGCCCATCATCCTCTGTAGAAGCCACTGGTGGATCTGAACTATCCGAGACTCACTGCCTTTTGGTTAGTAGTGTAATTTACTCTGGACTGTACCACCAGAGTTCCCTATGTGCGGATTAAGACAAATGTGTTTATAGTTTTCAGAATATTCTTTCTAAAAAGTTAGTTCATATTTTACAGTATATTGACTGGTGAGAGCTTGAAATATTTGTGGTAGCACGTTAGAGGCATTTGGGAAGATAGCCTAGTGATCTGCTTTAAAAGGGTCACAGCCTTGCAAACAGATTCCTCTCTTCTCATCCAAGGTCATCAGGAGCCAGAATCATCTTGATGGCATCTAATAGCATGCTCATGTTACAGACAACTCTCTATTTTATCATTTTATTAATATTAAAAGCTTTGTTATCTGTAGCTTATCGGTTTCTAATATTTCCCATTTAAATAGTAGTTTTATTTCTTCAGTGACTTGAATTCACTGCTGTTTACAAATTTCAACACAATTTTATAACATGTTACATGGCTAGCCAAAAATGTAGAATGTCTGCTTTGCCTTGAACTCACCAGTGTCTCTGAAGGAGAAAGCAGAACATTCTCCTCGAATTACAATTTACAGAGGTGATACACTTAAGTGCTTGACTGCTGACCAGAAGGTCAAACCCACTAGCTGCTCCATGGGAGAAATATGTTAGTCCGCTTCCATAAAGATTTACAGTGTTGTGGGGCAGTTATATGCTGGCTTATAATGTTTTTGTGATTAAGAATTGATTCACTGGAAATGAGTTGGGGTTTTTTGATTTGGTACAAATGACTTGAACTCTCTGGTGGCACAATGTTTATAATTCCATCCTCATAGACACTTTGAAGTTGAACCTCTTTGCCATTTTGTATTACAAATTTTAAAATGTGCTGGAATTCTGTGGTTGAAAAGATAGTTAAAATAATTAATAGCTTTCTGTGTCATATGAGTATTTAAAGGACCCTGTGCAGTGGGTTAAACCTACTCACAAGAGAAGAAAGATGAAGGAGTCTGCTCCTGTAAAAATCAACAGCCTCAGAATTTCTACTAGGTAGTACTACTCTGTCCTTTAAGGTTGTGAATAATTGGTATTGATTTAATAGCAGTGGGTTTGAGTTTTGTTTTATCTGAATATTTAAGGAATGTGGCAAAGTGGCTAAAAGTGTTTTGCTGCTAACCAGAAGGTTTGTGGTTCAAACCTTTAAACCCCGAAGGTTTGTGGTTTGTAGGAGTAGAATGTGTAGTCTGCTTTTGTAAGATTTACAACCTTACAGGTACCTATGAGGCCGTTTTACCTGGTTCTGTAGGATTGCTGAGTCAGAACTGACTCATGGCAGTAGATCTTGATTTGTGTCTCCTTTGACAGCTGTGGAAATGATCTATTTTACATGTAGGTAATGGGTGTTGTTTTTTTTTTGGTTTGCAGGTTTTTATTGGGGGTTGGAGGGGAGGGCCCATCCTCGGAGGTGCTCACAGTTTCTTCAGCCACTCCAGGCTGGGACCCGGGGGGTCCTGGGGGTGGTTGGGCACGTCAGGCGTGTTCCCATCATCTTGGAGGGGCACTGGGTAGCTGTAGGGGGTGACCTCATTGATCATGGAGGCATACTTGGTGCAGGGGCTTAACGAGGGCAGAATTAAAGCGAGACCTGCGATGGTGAAGGACACGACCAGCACCGGCTCCTTGTCCCAGGCTTTCTTGAGGAAGGCTGCGAGTCTAGTCGCCATTGTGGCCTCCGCTAATTGTTGTTTTATGTGTTACATAATACAAAGGCCACTAGCCACATGTGGCTGACTATTGCACACCTGAAGTGTGGTAGTTTAAATTGAGATGTACTCTTTTTTTTTTTCCTTCTATAATTATATTTTATTAATTTTCATAAACATTTACAGAGATTTTGGGTTTCCATTCATTCATTGTTGCACTATTCTCTCTACCCTCCTCCCAGTTTGTTCTTGTCCAAATGCCACAGTGCTTGTCAAAGCCAGTTCTGATTAATCAACAGCCAGCCACCTACCGCGGAAATAGAGATGTACTCTTAAGTGTAAAATACACAACAGATTTCAAGAGTTTTGGGATGAATGAACAGTGAACTATTGCAATAACATTTTTATTCATTGCAGGTTGAAATAATAACAAATACATTGACTTCATAAAATACATTAAAATTAATTTAACATGTTTGTGTTTACATTTTAATGAGACTGCTGAGAAATTTTAAATTACATACGAATTACCCTATTTATTTTGGATAGTTCCACTCTAAGATTATACGTTCTATTGTCTGTCTTTAATATAAGGATCTAGTTCTATTTCTGTTCTTGGGTCTCATGCCTAGTACAGTGCCTTTGCCTAGTACTATCTTAAAATAAGAGATTTAATAATTTTTTAATATTTGAATGGCCTGAAGCATTTTTGTTTGCTTGTTTGCAATACACCCATATTAGTATTCCAGTCAGACAAATTAGTGTACTAATCTCAACTTCTGTTACTTTGAGTCAGTTCTGTTACTTTGAGGAACTAAGTTACTGTCATTGACCTTTATTGTCTTCATGCAAAATATGAATATAGTTATGTGTTCAATAGTCTGTAAAATATGGTTGTCTGGTACTGTAATTTGGAGTGGTTACTCTTGAGATGTTGGAAGCAGGAGTAGCATCCACTTCCTAAACAACATACCTCCAGAAACTCTGTGAAATGTTGATAGTTATAGAAAGGCTTCAGGCCTTTTGTTCATAGGGTTGCTGTGAGTAGTGCTCGACTTTAAGGCAATCAACAACAACAACTCTTGAGATGTGAATGAATTTTCAAGAACTAGGTAGAAAATGAACCTTATTAATTAAAATCTAACTCATTATAATATAAAAGAATTTGGTGTAGTAATCCCTTAATAGATCGAACCATGTTAAGATTGCCTGTGTTTGTTACTAACCTAAAAAAAATGATAATTTCATGTGACCAAATCTAGTAGAACAGTAGACACTCAAAGAACTTATAAATTCTTTTGGTGTGTTTTCATTTTTCTTTTTAAGAACCTGATAATTTAAGCGACTCCCTCTTTTCTGGTGATGAAGAAAATGTGGGGACTGAGGAAATAAAGAATGAAATAAATGGAAATTGGATCTCAGCATCTTCTATTAATGAAGCTAGAATTAATGCCAAGGCAAAAAGGAGGCTACGAAAAAACTCATCCCGGGACTCTGGCAGAGGCGATTCCGTCAGTGATAATGGAAGCGAAGCCCTTAGAAGTGGAGTGACTGTGCCAACCAGTCCGAAGGGAAAGTTGCTAGATAGACGGTCCCGATCTGGGAAAGGAAGGGGCCTTCCAAAGAAAGGTTGGTACATTCTGCATCTAAGGAACAAATGGAAACTGAAAATGTCTGAGTCTTTAGATGACATTTTCTTTGTTCTTGGAATGAAAGAAATGGAAATGGTCATGTAAGGGTTACAGGTACTTTAACATAGTAGTAACCTGAGTACAGTCCAGTTTTTCTGAAAGTTAAGCTTTTTTTTTTTGCTTATATATTTTGCTTATTTGAGTAATTTTGATTTCTTGAGTGGAACTTTTTTATTTACTGGAAAAGATGTACTTATAATTTTCACGATTGTAGACGACATACGTAATTCTGTAACATTGTCTGACAGCATAGAGCAAGAACTTAAACATACAGTTATCTAGTAATGGAACTTTAGAGGCCCCGTGGGTAAGGGCTTGCACTGCCAACCCACAGGGTACCTACCAGTTTGGAGCCACCAGCTGCTGATTCGTGAGAGAAAGATGAACTATCTCCTCCCATTCGACTTACAGCCTCTGAAGAGCCACTGGAAGGTCATTTATAAGTTGGTTCAAATTGAGGGCAGTGTACAATATCATGAATCTTATTAGGGCACTGTAGTGGCCTGCTCCATAGAGAGTTGCACTTCTAATACATAGGGCCTGCCTCCCCTGTCACTCGAAGGGTTAAGTGTGGACAAACTTCTCCAGTTGGATTTACAGTTTCAAAAATCCAGTGGCAGGTCAGCTGTGAGTCCAGTGTGAATCCATGGCCAAGAGGACAAGGAAGGGGAGGAGTATCTCATACATCTATTAATATCCCTAGTTCCCAGTACATGGTGTAAGTAAATTTGGTTAATAATGCCTAGATTAGCATCTCAGTTATTTAAGAGGTCTGAGTCCTCATGCTCTTCAGTTGTAATATTGTGAGTACTGGCATGATCTCTTTCACTGCTGCCTACTCAGTGCTTAGAGTAGTCATGAACACATTCGTACATTTGTTGAAAGAATGAATGATTGCTGATTTGATCTGCTCTGCCAGCTTTTATCTGTAGTAAGCATTCAATACAGTTTGAAGATTTCCCCATCTTTCAAATGATGGAGATTTCCACTTGCAGCCTAGACTTGTTGAAAAAGGTCTTTGTACTTAAAAGAAAATTGTTATTTGTATTGAATGGCTTTATAAACATTGGTTGGATCACAGTGAAGTCAATTTTCAAGTTTGTTTTGCTCTAGTGGAGACAATTATGCTCTAGTACTAAGATAACTGCCTTCCTTTTCCTCCTAATCTTCAGTCAGAAAGGAGAAATATGATAACACTGTTAAAATTTTTTAAGAAACAAACAATATTCTGATCTCTAGAAAAACATTCCAGTAGTTCGTATCAGCAAATAGCTAAAAGTTGGAATTGTTGAATTTATGATCCAGTTGTGTGTGCAGAAGTCAAGAATTAATGATCAGTGTTCCTTATTTCTAAGTAGCAGTTATTTAATTAGTATTCATGTCTAAACAGGATATGCCTTTAAAACATTTGATAGTGATCACTGTTTGTTTATTAAATAATTTCTTCCTAGTTTTTTCTATGCCACATTTTACTAACCTAATATTTTTTTGTTTTGGTTTGGTCGTTGCAGTATCAATTCCCTTGAGGTCCCCAATACAGCTATTTTTGTTTTGTTTTAGCTTTTATTTTAAATTTTAAGTTTACATGTGATTTAATACTTTTCTTTTTAAAAAAAAATGCTTGACTTGGCATATACCTATAGATACTTTGTTTTATAATGTTTGCCATTAGTTAATTAATTAATTACAGTGTCTGATCAACTGCTTAGGGGGCTCTAGTGGCTTAGTGGTAAGGAATTGTGCTGTCAGTGCTAAGGTACACAGTTCGAATTCACCAGCTGCTCCACTGGAGAAAGAAAGCTGGTCAGTCTCCTGATATGTGCACTAAACTGCCTCTGAAAACCCACCAGAGGGTCAGCAGTTGGTCTGGTCGGTTCTAACTCAGTCGTACACAACAGCAGTTAACTGTTTACCTGTATATAGCCTTTCTCTTCACCCAACTGGTCTCCTTTCTCTTCAAGATTTGATTCTGTATGCCAGTCTTTCCTTCGCTTTTTGTAATAGTCACCTTATACTAAAATTGTCCTTTTATGACTAACTTTATGTAATTCAGTGTATTTTATTCTATGTTCATCCATTTCTTATAGTAGGTGTGATTTTTAAATGAATGATTTTGGAAGTAGGTTATAAGACAGAAAATTTAATCAGTATTTTAAGATATAAAATTTAATCAGTATTGAAGATGCAATGGTCTAAATAAAAAGCAGTGTGAAGCATAATTCTTAGCCAGAATAACTAACATAAAGGTGAAAATATAATTTTTTTAGTTACTTGTTTTGACCATGTAGAATTATTTCTGATCTCAATTAACGTTTATGAGCTGTGTCATCTGTATGAAAGAGCTCGGGTGACTTAGTCCATAGGGAGTTGCCCTGTTCACTGAAGGGCTGTGCCTCTCTGGTTGTTGGAACTCACCAGCAGTTGAGTTGAAAAAAATGGGTACTCAACTCCCTTGTTATTTACAACCTCAGAGACCTGATGGAGAGTCAGCTCTGAGTACATTTTGACTTGAAGGCAAATGAGTCAGTGAGTAATACTATATATGAGCTCATATGTATAGTTGAGTTTCAATTTATACAATTAACATTTTAAACAGTTGAAATTTTAAAGTAAAATGCATTTTCACTGACTGGTAACACATACTTGATAGTAATGTGAATCTTAAGAAATAATATCTATATTGATCTATCGATCGATCGATCAATAATATTCTTAACAGATGAAGTATTTACACTATTTTTACAGGCACATATTTGCTGTAAAGTTTAATCTCCATACCTGTTTTCACCAGGCTTCTGCTATTGTGGACTGTTCAGTTGGAACTAACCCGTAACTTGATCCTTCAGTGGGTTTTCAGAGGCAGTTGATTGCATGGGAGGAGATTACCTGTCTTTCTCCCGTGGAGCGGCTGGTTAGATTTGAAAAGCTTATCTTTGTGTTGGCAGTTCTTTCCCACTAAATCACCAAAAATACTAGAATGGTATTTGGACATTATTTGTGGTCATTTTTTCCCTTCAATTATACACTTTTTCAGGTGGTGCTGGAGGCAAAGGTGTTTGGGGTACACCTGGACAGGTGTATGATGTGGAGGAGGTGGACGTGAAAGATCCTAACTATGATGATGACCAGGTAGTGTTTATTTTTTAATTGTAAATGCTTGTAAATTTTTTGATGTCATGTTTGAAGTTAATCATACATTAACAGATTTTACTTTCTAAGTCATACACATATAGTACCCTTGGATTGTCGGGTTAGTTTTAGATTAGGATATCAAGTCATTAGTTAACACATGTCATAATTTTTCACATGATTGCTGAGATGAGTCAGAAGTAGGTATTTATAAATTCACAGAGGAAGATAATCAAGTTTACCATTTTTTCAAGAAATCTGTTTGGCTACTATGTACTATGGTTTATTTCTCTAGTAAATGAAAGATACTTGAGAAAAAGATACATTCTTTTGAGTATTATAAGAGTTGAGAATTTTTTTCTTTAGGAGGATGATTGCATTTCTTGAGTAATGCCTGATTGTATGCATTTGCCACATTTTGTTTATTTATCAGTTTTTAAGATACTTAGGTAGGTTGTTTCACTTATTGGCGATTAAGAATATTGTTGCTGTGAATGTTGAGGGATCTCTTCATGGTGCTACTTTTAGGTCCTTTGGGTATATGCCTAAGAGTGGATTGCTAGGTCATACGGTTGAACTGTGTTCGGCTTGTTGAACCAGCCGACTGTTTTCATGTTGATACCATTTTTTCCTATTTCCACCAGCAGTGAATGAGGGTTCCCGTTTCTCCATAGCCTTGCCAACCTCATGTATTTTGGGGTGGTGGTGTTTTTTTTTTTTAAATTATTGTCATTTGTAAAGGGTAAGACGATACATCTCATTAGGGAGATACAGCTCAATACCAAAATGATTGTTGCCCTTGAATATTTGTTCATGTGCATGTTAGCCATTTGAATCTCTTCCTCAGTGCAATGCTGGTTCAAGTCCTTTACTCATTTTTTATTGTTGGGGTGTTGTTTTGTTTTTTTTTAAAATATGTCTTGTTATTGGAAAAATCTAACATAAGTTGGAAAAAGAAAATAGTGTAATGAACCACTTAAATTCCTCTCCAAGCTTTACCAACTTTAGTAGTTAACTCTTGGTCAACCTTACTTCATCTTCTACCCACCATGGACTCTTCTTCTGTGTCTCCCTCAACCCACTAATGCTTTCTGAATTACATGAAGTAAATCTCAAAGACATTGTGACATGTCTTTAAAAATACTGTCTTATTGTTATAAGAGAAGACATAGTGATGAGTGTTTCAGACAATAAATTATCAGGGCATACGTTAGATTGTTTTTATTGTGTACTGTTTGTATGTAGATACTGATTTTAGCTAGCTGAACATATTACAAAATTTGCTTAATATTCTAAGTTTAACATACAGACTTCTAAGGTTGAAGCCAATCAAATTGCAGATGAACATTTCAGACAGAGTTCTGATTTTGGCTTTGATGGGAGAATGGTGGATTTTTGTTCGGTGATAGCCATTCATCTTGGTACTTTTGGAAATTTGAGTTGAACCATGATTCTTTTTAGTGATTTTTTTTTTCCAGTCCCTATTACGTCGTTTTTCATAATAGGTACTTTTATTATGCTAATAATTGCTAATCATGAATCTTTCATGCAGGCTTCAGTTTTTTCCTTTTTAAAAAATTTTATATTGATTTGTGTAGAAAATGAATACATTTTATGTTTCATACAATCATTTAAAAACATTGTGCTTTACCGAATTAGTTACTATTGAATTTTAATAAGCCAGGTTTTAATGAAAATGATATGATGGAAACACATCATATAAAGTCTTTTGTGAAACGCTGGTTTTGTGAGATATGTATTAAATGAACAAAAGGTATGGAGAATTGAGACAGGCCATGTATTTGCTATAGTTTATAATTCTAATGTATCTATTGGTTTATTTTACTCAGATTTTATAAAGGAAACAGTTGGATTGTGTTTTTATTGAAGTGGCCAGTCAAGTGCCTTGGGAGATTGGTTTTCAGGTTTTGAAAGCTTAGGACCAGAGCCTTATTGGAAAGGTTATTAATTGGCATAATACAGTTTATTAAGTGTTCTATATACCAGTGTTTTGAATAGTGCCTGAGATCTTAAAAGCTTGTAAGAGACAACTTCATCTACTCCTCACCAACTCTGTCAGCTGACATTTTGCATTTATGACAGTAGCTTTAAAAAATCTATTTTGCAAATTAATGATGTGTTGACAGTAATGAACACTGAAGTGTGGGGCAACAGTTACACCTTTGATGTTTAAGGTATGTGTTACCTAACGGGCTGGGCCATGAGTCTCAGAGGTTTGACTGTTACACAGTTTTGTAGTCGTGTAATGATGTAGTCATTTACCATTTTGATGAAGTTATACTCCATTTTCTTATGGGCCCATTTTTACATAATTACCTGGTCTTTGGAACCTAACAAGATCTGTAAATAAAGAGGAAGTATATGAATTTCTACTGGTCCAGGACAGAAGAGGAAGGAGGACGTTGTCTGGAGAACTAATTAAAAACAAAACACCCCATTGCTGTCAATTGTGCCATATAGAGAGATTGTTACTCAGTTAGAACATAATAATTATAAGACTATTTTATAACTTCAGTATGGGGTTTCTAAGGCTGTAAATTTTTACAGAAGTAGTAGACGGCTATATATTTTTAAAGTGAAACAGCTGGTGGGTTAGAACCACTGACCTTTTGGTTAGTAGTAAACTGCTTTTACCACTAGAGTTTCTTAAAGGATTAGTAATCTACATGACCCATGACCTCATCCACTCTGGGACTAGAAGAACTACATGATGCCTGGCTACCACTACTGCTCAATCCAAGCAAGGCTGTGATAGAGAAATCCTGATAAAAATGTGGAACAGCACATGGTTTTGTAAGAAAATGCGTACTTCCATGACCAGTTGAAGCCTTGATGCTGTTGTCCTGAAATACTCTTAAACCTGAAACAGAGATTATCTATAGATGTTATCTTTTATCTAAACAACACATTAGTTCAGAAATAAAGACTGTCACCTATGAGTAAAAATAGAAAATGACCTATATAAGGCCAAGCGGGGAAAATTATTCTAAACAAAAGGTGAGACAATCAGAGGGCAGAGAGAGTACTGGAAATGGTACAGCCAGAACAGAGTGAATGAGAATGACGACTTGTGAAAAATGTAATGTTATCTGTTACTGAAATAATTAGTGTATAACTTAAGTGAAAACTCAATTTTTATATGTAGGCTTTGATGTATATTGCATTGAAACAGATGAGGGAGAGAACTGTTTGAAAGGGATATATGAGTGGGTATTCTTGTCTTTACGTCCAGAGTGAAGGCTGCATAGTGGAGTGAACTTGGGGGGGAGGGATTGCATACCAATAAAAGATTTTTCTTTCTTTTCAAGAAGAGTACAGCAATGAATGACTGGAGACCCTAAGTCTCTGTGAACTTTCATTAAAATTAATTTAAAAAACTAAAGGAAAAAACAAAACATAATACATGGGAATGATTGTATGAAACAAAATGTGAATAAAGAATAGTATGAAACACAATGTATTAAAAACTTTATAAGAAAAACAATATAAAATAAAACAAAAAATTATTTTTTTAAGTGGTCAGAATTTGTAGCATATTTTTAGCATGCCCTAAATGGGGCCTACTCACCAATCAGAGTTTAAAATTATGAAACAGGGTCAGTTTGTCTCAATATTTTGTTCTTCAATTGTAATCCTTTTTTCTTCTGAATCTTACCCTCTCAGGAAAACTGTGTTTATGAAACTGTTGTTTTGCCTTTGGATGAAAGGGCCTTTGAGAAGACTTTGACACCAATCATACAGGAATATTTTGAACATGGAGATACTAACGAAGTTGCGGTAGGTTTAAAGTTGCAAGTGTGGTTATTTAATATATACCTCTAGTTGTACTGCCATTCTCACTGTCCTTTTCTGAATTGTTGCTTCATTAACTTGAAGTCGCTTGTGCCCTAAGATTGGCATGATAGTTCTGAACTGTTTCAGAGCATTTAGGGACCTTCTGAAGGGGCACCAGCAGTTCATTGGTAGAATTCTTGTCATCCATGTGGGAGACCCTGGTTTGAGTCCTGGCCATTGTACCTCAGTGCAGCCACCACCTAAGCAGCGTTTGGAGGCTTGCTGTTGCTTTCACATTGAACAAGTTTCAGAGGAGCTATGTGAGTGAGACTGATTAGGTGGAAAGACTACTCCAAAATTATGTAGTGTAAACCTTGTGATAACAATGGTTCAATTCCCTTTGTGCAATTGAAATAGATTAAAAATTAAAGGGAACATGTTTTTAGGTATATTTGAAGCATACTTTCTGTGGAATCATTTGCTCATTAATTGTAAATTGTTCAGGAAGTTAAGTCTTTGCCGAGTTGTGCAGTCATCAAACATGAAGTAACTATAAACCCTTTGCTGTTAAGCTGATTGTTGTTGCCATATTGTTGTTGATCACCACTGAGTCGAACACGACTCATAGCAACTCTATGAACAAAAGACCTGAGGCCTTTCTGTAACTATTGTCATTTCTCAGAGTTCATAGAGTTTCCAGAGGCATGTCATTTAGGAAGTGGATGCCACTCCTGCTTCCAATAAGTAAATATAGAAGAGTGAAAAAATTATTAGCCAAATAAGGATCATGAAGTTAATAAAATTGTAGTGTTTTGAAAAGTTTTTATAGTTGATGTAATCCGAAGACAAAATGTAGACTAGATTTGTTATCTTTGGATTTGTAGGATTTGACTGTAAAACAAATATTTGCCCAGTACATACCATCTGAAGGAATTTGTGATAGTGTGATTCATGCCCTTTGAAGCTCAGTCTAGCAAGGGAAATAGTATGTAAACAGATTAGAATCAGGATAATGTGAGACATTCTGTTATAGTACAGGTAGAGTTTAAGCCCAAGAATGCAGAGGCTGCTGAAATTTATTAACTGTGTTAGGGGCAAAGTGTTTTGAAATGGAGAGTTTTAGAAGAAGTGATAAATAATGTGCCATCTGAAAGATGCCTAGAAGTTTGCCTAGCAGCTTTTCAGAGGAGTATTGAATTAAAAGGTAACAAATTACTTTTAAAAGATAGTCAAGGAAGATGTACTGGAATAGGAAGAGACTACTAACATACTTTAATTAGGTGATTGTGAAAAATAGCTCTGGCACTCCATTAGTTGTAAGCTATGCTTTCAAGGTTCTAAGGGAGCCCAGTAATCTTACTAACAAGGCAGGTGGTTTGCATCCACGGGCTTCTCCAAGGGAGAAAGATGGACAGTCTCCTCCCGTGTGATTTAAAACCTCGGAAAATCAGCTGGGGGGTCAGTTATGATTTGAGGGCGCATAACCAGAAGGGAATTCTAGTGAGTTGCCCTGCTAACCCAAAGGCTGTGTGAAACACAAGTATTTTATCTGTAAAAGAAGTGTCTCCTCTCCTACATTTTACAGTCTCTGAAAACTGGGCTGGAGGGTCAGCTGTGATGAGTTGGCCCCGACTTGGAGGCAATGAGAAGAATACTTTCGGTGAAGGGGAAAGTTAACCCCTAGGCTTAGACTGCTTGTATCTCCTTCTGGCTTAGCCACTCTGGCACTTTCTTGTGTATGATTGGTATGATAGTAGTTCTCCCCTAAGCAGATTATAGTGATATTAAACGAGCTAATATGGACAAAGTGGCTGTTGTAATACTGGGTACATTAAACTGCCATGGTAGCAGTAGTCAGATCAAAAGATGTAATTGCATTGGGCAGATCTGGTGTCAAAGACCTCTTTAAAGTGCTAAAGCAAGGATGTCTGTTTAAAGACTAATGTGCACCTGCTCCAGGCCATGGTACTTCCATTTGCTTCCTATGCTTCTCAAAGCTTGACATTGAAGAAGGATGGCAAAGAATTATTGATGCCTTTGAATTGTGGTTTTGGTAAATATCGACCTTCCCAGGCACTGCCTAAAGGACAGACAGATTTTAGAGGAATTGCAGACAAAATCTCCTTGGAGATGGTGAAACTTTGTCTCACTGTGATCAGAATATCAAGAGGGGCCAATCCTTGGAACAAGACCCCTCCGACATGCTGGGAGAAACAGAAGGTCAGCAGAAGGGAGGAAGAGACCCTCAGATGGACTGATGCAGTGGTCACAGCAGTGGGTTTGAGCATGTCCGAGAGCATCATGACAGCACAGGGAAGGGCACCTAACAATGTACTATTTTTAATAGATGTTACTTTTACTTTATCCCAGCATTTAAAATATTAATCCCACTTAAAGATAGTGGTTTAAGATCTTAAACTTTATATAAAGTACACATTTTTTGTTTAAAGAGAGAACTTTGAAGAAAAAAGGCATGTAAAACAGTTGATTACAATAGAAAAATTAATCTCTGCAAATGTTTATAAAACAATATTCTTAGTTCATAAGAGAGAGGCTAGTTTTGACTACTACAGTTTAATAAGAAATTAAATTATTGGGTTTAATATGTCTTATTCTTGAGTTTAATGATGCTTAGGCAGTTAGAGCTTGACAAAGAGGATCAATATCTAATTTATGTGCGAGAAGAGATATATGTACCCTAGCCCACAAAATATGACTGCTTCTCTGTTTCCCAAGGGGTAGGTAGGCAAAAGTATGTATTTTGTTAAGTATATTTTTTTAAAAATACATTTTTTAATTAAATAAACTTTTTCCCTTAAAAATAGGAAATGCTAAGAGATTTAAATCTTGGTGAAATGAAAAGTGGAGTTCCGGTGTTGGCAGTATCCTTGGCACTGGAGGGCAAGGCTAGTCATAGAGAAATGACATCTAAGCTGCTTTCTGACCTTTGTGGGACAGTTATGAGCACAAATGATGTAGAAAGATCATTTGATAAATTGTTGAAAGATCTACCTGAATTAGCACTGGACACTCCGAGAGCACCACAGGTTTGTATGATTCTGCTTTTTGTTCCCCCACAACTTCTTCTCATTAGAGAAATAAAACCTGCTCCTAGAAAATTTGAAATGGAAGGGAGGGAACTAGCCTGTCTGTCCTACTACACAAAATTAAAATGTTTAGTTTTTCCTTAGCTGTTTTTAAAAAAAATTAATATACTTTACATCATAAATTCAGTTTTATGTCTTATATTTTACTTCTCACACTTTGTATAGTTGTAATTTCCTCTGCCTGTTTAATTTTATCTATGGTTAAGTTGTTTTATGAGGTAGAATTTTAAGAATTTAGATTGTTAAGGGTTGAATTTGATTGACTGTCCAGGTGATTCTGACCAGTGACCCTCCTGTCGGGTTTCTGAGGCTTTCACTTGTAGAGGAGGAGCCTGCTTCATCTTCAGGTCCTGGAACAGCTGGGCGCTTGACTGGCGGACCTTTTGGTTAGCAGCCCAATTATGAACCTACTGCAATCAGTTCATCATATTTATTATAAAACAACCATAATAAGATGCTTTCCTTTTGAAGCTTTATAAGGAAATATATTAGAAAAGTCATGAGTTTTGTTTAGTGTTTCCTCAAGATCTTGTATTTTTATCAGAAGTTAATATATGTTGTCATTATAAGGTAATGTTCTGCCTTGAAATTCAGAACATGAAATTGTTGATAAAATTTTTTCATCAAAGTGATGATAATTTATAAATAGAATATAGTAGGCCAATTTCTAGATGGTATTTTCTTGTGGCAGAAGTCTGTGTAAGGTATTTAGCTGTGATTTAATACTTCCTCCACGTAACATATTCATGTTAAAATTTTGATTGTGTAAGTTCATGTGTTAAAAAATTTTTGAAAAATATAGAAAACCCAAAAATCATAAATCAACTATTTCCATTTTGCTGTCAAGCCTTCCGTTACACTTTCTTTCAATATATGCCAGTGTCTCACTTAAATACACTAATCTACATTTCTTTTGTATTGATAAAAACAGAATCATACCTATGGGCTGTTTTGTAACCTGAATTTTTCTCTATAGTCACATAGTATGTGACCAATATCTTACATATACATTATACATAAAAAATACATCTTACATACTGGGCCAGTTGGCAGCATCAGGATGGATGGTGAAGAGATTGAGATTGTTCCCAGCTTTAGTTTGCTTGGCTCCACAGTCAACACTCTTGGCACCAGTAGCCAGGAAATTAAAAGGCGTATTGTGATGGAAAAGTCTGCTGTTAGGGACCTCTCCAAAGTACTGAAGAGCAGTGGTGTCTCTCTGGAGACTTAAGATGCGTCTGATACAGGCTATGGTCTTCGCAATCACTTGTTATGCATCAGAGAGTCGGACAATGACTAAGGAGGATAGAAGAATTGATGCCTTTGAGCTGTGGTGCTGGAGAAGAGTATTGAGAATACCATGGACTGCTAGGAAAACTGGGCGGCTCCTTGGAGGCAAGGATTCTGAGGGTCCGTTTAACATACTTTGGACATGTTATAAGAACCTTGGAGAAGGACATCATGCTTGGTAGGGTAAAGGGACAGTGCAGGAGGAGAAGGCCCTCTATGAGATTGATTGATTCAGTGACTGGGGTAATTGGGATGGGAGTGTCTGAGACAGTGCGATTAGCACAGGACAGAGCAGTTTAGGGCTGTTGTACATAGGGTCGCTATGAGTCGCAAGAGACTCAATGGCACATAACAACAACAACAACATGCCTGTACTATTTAACCTTTTATTGTTAAACAAACTGATGTTTTGGAGAGAGTTGAGCCAGGCTGCTCGTCAGAGGGAAGAATGGTGAAACTTTGCCTCATATACTTTGGGCATGTTGTTAGGAAGGTTCAGCCCTTGGAGGAAAAGCCGGAGGGTCCGCGAAGTAGGGGAAGACCCTCAATGAGACAGATTGACTGAGTAACACTAACAGTGAGCTATAGTGTGGCAGAGATGATGAAGCTGGCATAGGCTAGGCAGGGTTCAGATAAGATGGTCATAGGGTTGCTATGAGTTCAGAACTTGACAGCTCCTAATAACAAAAACAAGGTGGTTTACAATTTTTACAATAAGTAATGTTATGAAAATACTTTCAGATGAGTATTCTAAAGATTTGTTTTCCTTCATATATTTGATCAGATAGCATTTGTGGAGTGTTCAGAGTATGTGGGGATTCAGTAGTGAGCGTAACGGACATGGTTCCACCCTGGTGATTAGGTTCTTGAGTGGAAAAAAAAATGAGAACATGCTACTTCACTCACCCATTGCTGTTGTTTAAGAAGCAGTTCACAGCTGTCCCTCTCTTGGGATCCTGAAGCTGTAAATGTCAAGAGAAGAGATTGCCCATTTTTTCCTCCTGCAGAGCTGTTGGTGGATTCAAATTGTTAACCTTTTGGTTAGCAGAGCACCTCTCTATGGACTATGCCACCGTCATGCCCTCAAATGTAACTCAAAACTCATCCATAACTGACTGTCAAGCTGTAAATTACACAGGAGATTGCTTCCCTTTTATGGAACATCTGGTGAATTTGAACCACCCACCTCTGAGTTGGCAGTACAACTTCATACAGATACAAATCAACATACATTTTAGGCTTGACTGTAGAATTGTTTTCATCATTTATATTTGGGGGAAATTGTATCCTATAAACATTCATTTTAGATTTTTTTCCCCCCATAGTTGGTTGGCCAATTTATTGCTAGAGCCGTTGGAGATGGAATTTTATGTAATACCTATATTGATAGTTACAAAGGAACTGTAGATTGTATACAGGCTAGGTAAGTAAATTAATTTTTCTTCTTCAAATATAAAAGTACGGAAAAGCCTTATCTCTTTATCTCCTCCCCACTCCTCTGATCATTCCCAAGCATTATGTCTTACAGAGGTTTTTCCATTAACACCAACAAACAGAAAGCAACCTCTTGGTGCTGGGACCGTGAATTTATAGTCTAAGCATCCTTAATATAAGAAAAGGAAGTTCTCCATTACTAGTCTGTATACATGGTTCTTGCATTCATTAGACATTATAGGCACCAATTATTCATCAGTTGTATTTTCCATTGTTAAAATAGGGAGATTGTTGGCGTGATATTAAGGGAAAGATGATGGTCTGATATAGAGGTCCTGGTTTCTAGCTAAATCATTAGATATCTTCATGCCAAAGGTACTCTTCTTTGGGCTTCAGTGCTGCCATTATTTATAAAATAAAAGAACTGAACTTAAAATGTTCATGAGATTCTTTCATGCCCTAATATTTTGTAATTACTTAGTATTCTAGTAAGAAAACCAACTTTGTTAAAAGAGTCTCATTTAAAATTTTACTTCACACTTAATCTACTATAGACATTTTTTCTTAATTGGGGAGTTTTTCATGCTTGCTCTTTGGTAGTTAATTGTGGACTAGATGTTGTTTTGGGGAGTTGGGCTTTTTTTTTTAAGTACTTCCTCAAGCCTAGATTTGGACTTAGCCAGGTTTTAGGTTCTTTCAGGTGTACACACTGAGGCTGGCTGAATTTTCTAGGGCTTCTTCAGGTTGTGTAGGGATAGTCTCCATGGGTGGGAAGGCAATTTCTAGGTAAAAGTTAATGTGAAAAATCCCCTTTTCCAGTGTAGATAAATTATTTTATAATACTTTAATTTCTGCTGTGAACAGCGGAAATTACAGAGTTTGAGAAAATGTTCGAGAATAAACTTAGTTTGCTCCCAGTCTTTAATTGTTAAAGATAGTCTTTACAGAACTTTTTTACTTTATGTGTCAAAATTTGGTTGAAGTTTTTTTCTCCCCCTTCTTTTGTAGAGCTGCTCTGGACAAGGCTACTGTGCTTCTGAGTATGTCTAAAGGTGGAAAGCGTAAAGACAGTGTATGGGGCTCCGGAGGTGGGCAGCAGTCAGTCATTCACCTTGTTAAAGAGGTAATAATTGGGTATTGTTTTTAATTTCTATATATTCCTCACAAAAAGAAACTATGCCTTTTAGTTGGCATTTTTGTAAACAGAAAAGTTCCATCTTAGAGCTGCAAATGTAAATTTTGAAATAAAAATTAGTTTATTAGATAGCATTCATTGTGTGCCTATTAGGAGCAAAGATAATTTTAATTGGCAGTGTATAGGGAAGAACAGTCTTAGTTTGGTTTGGGGTGTGTTTTTTTTTTCTCTAATTTAAGTTCTTGTGATAAAAAAAATTGCCACATTTTTCTCCAGAATCATAGATGTTCTTGTAGAAATTTGAACAGTTAATAAGGATAAAGATTTGCCTCTTTAGCTCCAACTTGAAATTTGTGGACTGACTTGAGATTGTGTTTTTAAGATAATGGGTTCCAAATGCTATACTCTAGAAATATCCGACAGTCTTTTTCTTGTCTAGTAAAGCTTGTTAGCCTTATTTTTGGCTCCAGAATACTGATAAGGTCATTTGTGCCATTTAAAAATTCAAAGTGAACTAATGTAGTCTCAAAAAGACAAATACTGCCTAAGACCATTATTTTAAAAATAGAATGATAACTACAAGCAACAAATGCTGGCGAGGTTGTGAAGAAACTGGAACCCTTATTCACTGTTGGTGGGAGTGTAAAATGGTGCAACCACTGTGGAAGGCGGTATGGCACATTCTTAAAAAGTTGTAGATAGAGATACCATTTAACCCAGCAATTCCACTACTGGGAATATACCCTGAAGAGACCATAACTGACATCCAAGCAGATATATGCACACCCATGTTTATTGTGGCTTTGTTCACAATAGCAAGGAGTTGGAAACAACCTAAGTGCCCATCAACAAATGAATGGATAGAGAAGCTGTGGTATATTCACACAATGGAATACTATGCTGCATTGAAAAACAAGCAACTCATGCAATATTATTCAAAATGGGTGACCCTGGAGGACATTATGCTGAGTGAAGTATCTCAGTCACAAAGGGACAAATACTGCATGGTGCCACTGTTGTAAAACAGGACTGCCCTTGGGGTTGGGGGGAGACTGAGAAAGATGGGATAATGTATACTGCCTTGAAACAGATGAGGATGAAAACAGTTTAAAAGGGATATGTGATTAGGTATTTTTGTCATGACAGGAGTCTAGAGTGAGGGCTGGAGTGGACCTGGGGGAGGGTTTGTAAAACAATGGAAGAATTTTTCTTTTACTTTTCCAAGAGGGTAGTGTACTAGGGGGGAGGGTTGGGAGGGGAGAAAAGTGCAACAGTGAATGAATGGAAATCCAAAGTCTATGTAAATTTTTACTTAAATTAATAATAAATTTAAATTAAAAAAATAGAATGATAGCTAATAAAACATGTATGGGAACTCAAGGCAGAGGAGGGCTGAGAATGGGGAGAGGCAAACCACATGGTTGCACAGTTTGGTAGGTAGGTGGGGGAAGGAAATGGGAAGGATCCTTGTGAAAAGACAGGGCAACCATGGGCAAGTTCCAATTGTGATTAATTTTATAAAACAATGTATGAGAATGATTATATGAAGCACAGTGTGAATGAATAATAGTTTGAAACACAACATAAAGGAACTTTGTAAGCAAACTAATAAAAGAAAAATTTCGAGACTTTCGACTAGTGCCCTCTAGTGGATTTTAAAAGCCCTGTTTTATAGTGAGCATTGAAGCCTTAAAATTCACAACCCAGGCTGGCATAGCCTGATTGTAGAACTCAGTGATTATTACTAATTCAGGTACAGTGAAGCAGTGTGTTTTTCCATGGTGGTAAGCCATTTGAAATTTTATTTTTTATTATAAAAGAAATGGTGATGCTGATAACTTTGTAATAGGCTGCTTCATTGGGATTAGGATAAATAAACTGGGCAAAACATTTTTCAAAAGTGAGGAATTCTAATACATTTATATTTTTAAATCCAACAGATTGATATGCTGCTTAAAGAATATATACTCTCTGGAGACATATCTGAAGCTGAACATTGCCTTAAGGAATTGGAAGTACCTCATTTTCACCATGAGCTTGTATATGAAGTAAGATTATTTTGACATTCTAGAGATGATGTCCTTTTTGCACTATCATGACTTACTGTTTCTTTAAAACGTAAGAATCTTTTTAAAAGAAATGACTTAACTTTCTAAATTTTTATAATCATTATGTATTAGAAACGGAAATTTGATAGGAAAAGTTACTTGATATGTTGTAGTAGTTTCTTATATTAGTAATAATCCAAATATTCATTCAATTTTTAGGCTATTGTAATGGTTTTAGAGTCAACTGGAGAAAGTACGTTTAAAATGATCTTGGATTTATTGAAATCCCTTTGGAAATCCTCTACCATTACTATAGACCAAATGAAAAGAGTAAGTATAACATCCTGTTGAACAGTTTTTAAGCTATGTCTTAAAAATCTGTAATAATTGAATAGTTAAGAATTGTCGACGAAAAGTTATTAAAAGTTTTAATATTATGGTGTGTATATATATATAAAAAACACATGCTATTGGTTATATATGTGTAACATGTAACACGTATTTAGAATGCATATTTTTTTAAATGAGACTGTTTAAATGATTTTCAAGGGAAGTATACTTTGTAGAAAGTATCAATTCAGTATTACTAGTTTTCTCTTATTTTTTAAATATACTTCAAAGATCTTTTTAATAGTTGTGATTATACTTAAGAGTTCTGAGATCTAGTTTTAGATTATTAAAAGATTATAATCTACTTTTTTCCTATGTAAAATTGTATACATTACTGTTAAATCTTCGATATATGCTGTCTATATTCAAGCCTGATGTCTGGAGCTTTTTTGAAAAAAGTTTTTTAATAAAAACATTTTTAACAGATGTTACATTTTCTACTTTCCAAGATCCAAATATGATGATAGTATAATCATACAAACATTTGGCCTTAAATGCACATAATCTGACATGGTGATGGATTCTGTTGAATGACATTCTGTTGTATGTTATTTTGTATTTCATGTGGCTAATAATTTTTTATCTAATGTCATTGTTTTAGGGTTATGAGAGAATCTACAGTGAAATTCCAGATATTAATCTGGATGTCCCACATTCATATTCAGTGCTTGAGCGATTTGTAGAAGAATGTTTTCAGGCTGGAATAATTTCTAAACAACTCAGAGATCTTTGTCCTTCAAGGTACTTAATTTACTCTTTCTCAGCATTATACACAGCTTTGTAAAGCTGGAACTATTATTCCAGCTTTGTAAAAAAAGTATTACCGTCTCTGAAGTCACTTAAGAGCAAGTTCCATTTTTGAGTTTATGAAGAAAGAAGAGTAAAGCTTGTTTTGCCTTCTTGTAAATTTGTGTATATAGGACTATCTCATGAAGGCCACTTCATTTGAAGGAAACCTACTTTACGAAGCAGTTTGTATCAGGTTCTTTTCTAAGTAGCTTAAATATTATTTCAGAGCAGGTATTATCACTAATGAGATGGAAACCTAGAGAGGTGTAGTACACCTCTTTAGAGGTCACAAAGCTAGTAAAGAATAGTGACCACATATGAATCCAGAATTTTACTGGCTTCAAAGATCTGGCCTTTCTTGTATATTTTGTGGAATCTTTTGCCACTTTATAATTTAAAGAATTGGGGCTAACTGAATCTTATCTTAAAAGGATATGAGTGTGTGTTATTTGGGGCTGTTATATTTAATCTACTAGGATCTTAACTCTTTAGGATTTGAAGATATTTTGTTGTTAAAGTTTACACTGTTATAATGCAAATGCTGTTAAAAGTTGTAATGTTAAATTTCTTGTTAAGTCAGTTTCATATACTTTTAAACTTTATAATTTTCATCTGAAAACATTTTTAAGCTTTAAGTAATTTTTTAAAAAGCATTTTATGAATTAAAATAACTTCCTTGGAGAGGTCTTTGCTCTAGAAGCTTTTAAAACCATAGAAGAGGTAAAATGGGGAAAGTAGTTCGATGGCTTAGATAGAAGTGTTTGGCAACAGACCTTTATGTTGAGTTGACATCATGTGTGTACTGATGTGCCAAATGGTATATACATCAGTAAAAACTGCCAGCTTTGTAAGTCTTGGTACCTAGTGCCTTGTTCTCTACACTTCAGTCTCCTAATAGTATAATTTGAAATCTTATGTTCAGGAAATAGTTTTTTACACTTTCAAAGTGTAAGAGTGGGTCAGCATTATGGTACTGGCTCTTTAAAATTTGGTGCCTCAGTTTGCAAGTCTATCTGGTTATGGCTTTATCATTAGGGGTTATTTGAAAAGACAAACATACCCCAAAGAACTTTTGCTTATTTGAAGAAGTCTGCATTTGTGTGAGGGCTTGCTTGTATGCTTGCCTGTGCTTGTTGGCCTGGGTCATAGAGTAAAAGTTAATCCACCTTAAAGTTAGTTCTGTGTTCCACGTAGTATTTTGTGCTGCTGGTTACCTGCTCTTCCTGGATTGTTGTTACTACATGTAGGTTATGTATGATCACATTAATAGAACAAGGCTCAAAATGAGGGATTGGCTAGAATCAGTCAGTTTCAGATTTGTTTTCCCACATTCAGGTTTTGCATTTTCTATGTTTTAAGAGGAGGAAGGAACCAAAAAAAAATTGTTAAACATTATAGCAATAGGTTCCATGGATCCACTTTACATTAATTCCAGCTTAAGTTAGTGTTCCTTTTCTGGCTTACTTATGTGGTAGGAGTAAGTATTAAATAACCTGCTTTACACGATCCATTTCGTAATGAATAACTAGAGTTTATATCCTTAGAAAATCCATAGTAGCAGTTTAATTAATGCTATGTACTAGAAATGTTATGCTAAAGAGTGAGTCTTCAAAGGAATTAGAGAGATACTCCAACTTACTTGAAAGGACAGTAAGATCCCCCAAAACGTCAATGTCTAATCAAAAATAACAAGTTATTTGTTTTTTCACTAATATAGGGAATTTGAATCTGTTTGTATTCGTTCTTTACAGGGGCAGAAAGCGTTTTGTAAGTGAAGGAGACGGAGGCCGTCTAAAACCAGAGAGCTACTGAACAGAACTCTTGCAGTCTTATATGTTACAAAAATATATATCTGAATTGTAAGAGATGTTAGCACAGTTGGTTGGTTGTTTTTTTTTTTTAAGTACTTGTTTTGGGTACAAGGCATTTCTGAAATTTTATAAACTTTCATTTAAGGGGAATTTTTAAAGGAAATGCTTTTTTCCTTTTTTTTTTTTTTGAGGGTATAAAGGAGGGACAGACAAGTGACCACTTCTTAAGTGGAATATTCTAATAAGCTACCTTTTTGTAAGTGCCATGTTTATTACCTAATCATTCCAAGTTTTGCATTGATGTCTGACTGCCACTCCTTTCTTTCAAGGACAGTGTTTTTGTAGTAAAATCACTGGTTTATACAAAGCTTTATTTAGGGGGTAAAGTTAAGCTGCTAAAACCCCATGTTGGCTGCTGCTGTTGAAATACTGTGCTTTGAGAGTTAAAAAAAAAGTTAATTCTTTGTCTTAAAGAATTTTAAGAAAATGAGTTAGTCATGAGACTTATTCATCTTTCCAGGGAACATATTGATTGGTCTTAAGACAGTTCAGTAAATGGTGGCTGGAACATCTATTTTTGTACAAAACTGGAAAAATGAACCTGGTTCTAGAAGAATGTATGACAGAATAAAACATGTGAAGCAGTGTTGATTCTTTATTTGGAGTGCATTTATTTTGGGTCATTAAAAAACTTGTACTTTACACTGTAAACTTTATATAAGGAAGCATATTTGAATTTGCCTTGTTCCTTGACAGCAATTAGATCAAAGATATAGTCGTAAATAGGTTCCTTGACTATCATGTTGAGGCATGCTTCTCCCTGTGTTTGCTGTTAAATTATCTAAAGAATGGTCACATTTCTTCAACAAAGTTTCAAGGGTTTTACAAATATTATAATTGAAAAACCTTTCTAGAAGTATAGTTAGCACTTTACACTTTCTAATGGTATTTTAGAACCAGAAAAGCCAAACTTTAAAGTTGCCTTTTGGACTAGCTCAAGTCCATATTATATTGGCTTATGTAGATTACATACATGCAGCCTCCAATATGGATTGAGGCTCAATGTCA